AATTAACATTAATTATTGATAATTATAATAATAATTATTGCAATACGTTATTATATTATGATATTTTAATATATATATATATATATAATAAAATATACACAAATATGATATTTTAATATATATTAATTAATATATAATAAATATAATTATATGTAATAATTATATAAATAATTATATAACAATATAATTATATGCACTAATTATATAAATAATTATATAGTAATAAAATAATATGTATATTATATACAATCTATATTTATTATATTACATATAATATATAAATATATGATATTGTACATATTATATATATTTATAAATAATTAGCATACATAATAAAATATATAATAACTAATATATAATAAATATAAACAACATTAGTTATATGTAATAATTATAAACATATATCTGTTGTAACATACAAATTACTTATATATAATGATATATAAGTAATTATAATTATAATATATAATTAACATACATTATATGCAATAATTAATGCCTATTTATTATATAATATTTCTAGAAGTCTCCAGGCATTCCAAACAATGGACAGACATCTTTCAGGTTTCTTACCAAATGTTATCGAAATAGCAGACACATATGTTCTAGGAGATGCCAATTCCATGAGAGGCATCTCCCTAGGATACCTATTTCCAAGGAACCAAACACGAGGCAGGATCTGTTCCTAAGGGAGAATTTGTTAACTAAATCTAGTAAAGCTAGCCTTTCAAGTGAGGTTTTTGGGATTTTGAATAAGAATAGATCTTTTCCTAAGGGAGGACTTATTCCTAAGGGAGAATTTGTGGACTAAATCTAGTAAATCTAGCCTTTCGAGGATGTTGGGTGAAAAAGAAAATGAAACCCTAAAACAGAAAAGAACAATAGGGTTTCAAAGATATCTAAGGTATTGAAGAAGATATTTAGACTGATAGAAGATCAGAGGTGTTAGAGAGAAAATTAGAGTTTAATAGAAGAGGAGATACAACGTTTTGTTAGGGTTCTAGTGGAGAAGAATGACTACTATTTACCAAGAGAAGTCTGAAGAAAGTGGCTGCTGTTCACGAAGAGAAAATTGGAAAAGACAGTAGCAAAAGATCCTTGAAGCGCCTTAAAGATCTAGTATTTTTCAAACAAGCCTTGATACCATGATAGATAAAGTTCGTCTTGGAGAGAAAGAGATAAACAACAAGAGAGAGATGAGTGCGTGAAATCCCCCTTGAGATCTGACTTTGGGGTGCATGCATCTCTTATTAAGTTTGTGTGTGTGTATACATTGTATGATTAGCCCTTGACTATGAAGATTATGGCATCATGGTACAAAACATAATATAAAATGCCTACAGTATACATTATACATTTCAATACATATTCTTAACACTTTTTCGCAGTTGGCGACCATCGGAACTCTTCTCTTTTCCAGTACTCCATTAAGTGTGCTGCAATGGTGATCAAATATTTGATAAGACACCAATAAAATGAGGACAGTCCATGGAAACTCCGCACCTCATGGGCGTTTTGGCCATTGGCCAATCTTGGATTGTCTTAACTTTGTTATCATATGCCCTATCACTTGAAGAGATCAATACAAAGCCTAGAAAGACCACGCAACCCGTCATAGCAGCACTGTTTTTTAGATGAATGTAAAGTTTTCAGCTCTAAGTTGATTTGAACTACACTAAAATGATCGACATCTCTAATTCATTTTGGCTAGCACTTTTTGTTTTAGATAAATGTAAAGCTTTTCAGCTCTGAGTTGATTTGAACTACCCTAAAATGATCGACATCTCTATTTGGTTTTGGCTAGCACTTTTTGTTTTAGATAAATGTAAAGCTTTTCAGCTCTAAGTTCATTTGAACTACCGTAAAATGATCGACATCTCTTTTTGTTTTCGGCTATAAACAAGGATGTCATCAAAATAAACAAAAACAAACTAATCAATGAGGGGTCAAAGCACTTGGTTCATTTCTCGCATATCGTACTAGAGGCATTGGTGAGGCCGAATAGCATGACTAGCAAGCATTTTGAACACTGTTTTCCACTCATCACCATATTTGTTTCGGATTTGGTGGTATCCACTTCTTAGGTTAATTTTGGATAATACTCGGGTGCCTCCCAACATGTCTAGAATGTCATCAAGCCTCGGGATTGGGAAGGGGCATTTGATGGTGATGGTGCAGCGATCAATGCACATCGCCACAAACCATCCTTCTTTGAGGTCAATGAGCCCAGCACTACACAAGGACTCATGCTTTCTCGAATGAACTCCTTTTTTAGTAAGTCCGCGATTTGCCAATACAGCTCCTCATGCTCTTTTGGGCTCATGGGATACTGAGCCTTGTCTGGCAAGCTTGCTTCCAAAATCAAGTCTATGTGATGCAGAATATCCCTTAGAGGAGGAAGTACTCTTGGAACATCATCAAGGGAGATGTCCTAGAATTCCTCTATAAGGGGTTTCAACTCACAAGGCATACTTGTGGAGCAAGTTAGTGCGCTCAACTTGCTCTTTAGCCACCAAAGTGAACATAGCTCCACTCCCATTGCATTTCTCCATAAGTTTAGACAATGTGAGAAATCTGCTGCCCTACTCTCGGACAGATTTGCGACCACCTTCCTTCTTGCTATGCAGGAGTACGACCTCCATATTACCCATTTTGGAATTTGTATGTGTTCGGACGACCATAGGCGTGATACGCCCATCGAACTGCTATGGCCTTCTGAGAAGTATGTGATATACGCCCATACGAATGACACGCACCATAATTGTGATTTCTTTACCCATGGACAAGGAAACAAGGCTTCATTTATTAACTTTCACCTCGTTGCCCTTTTTGAACCATGCTATTCGTAATAGCCTTGGGTCTTGTTCAGTTTTCAACTTGAGCCTGTCCACCATCTCTTGTGAGACAATGTTCTTATAATTGCCACCATCAATAACTGTGGTGCACACCTTGCCACTAGATTTGCAACAGGTTTTGGAAATACTCAATCGTCACCAGTCCTCTCCAAGGTCCGCCTTAGGAGTGGCTAAAGCTCACCAAGCTCTCTCCAACCTCAGGCTAAACTTTTAGCGTGCCAAACCTGGTTTGTCATCATAGATGGGTTCCAACTACCAAGCTGTCCTCCATGAACTCCTCTCCTCCATTATCTTCCGCTAGGTTGACACAGGTGTCAAACCGCCTACCGGGACACTCACTAGATAGGTGACCAATTTGGCCACACTTAAAGCAAGCAATTGGCATGTTAACTAGCCTTATGAGCCTCTCGAGTAGGCTGGCCCTTCTTGGCCATTATGTTGTTCTGTGGAACATCTTCGCTCCTTTGGCATTTCCACTCTCAATTTTGGATTGTCATCCTTGTATGGGCCACGAGGTTCTACACACCTCTTTGCTTCGGCCAAGTTTAGCTTCGACTCTCAATGCCAATTGGTAAGTGTTGTCGATCCTTCATAAGCGATGCATCTCCACCTCATCACAAATTGACAAGCGCAATCCACCAACATACCTCAAAACAAGTTGTTCCTCTATTTCTTGGATGTCATTGCACATTGTAAGTTTGCAAAATTGTTCGGATTACTCAGACACACTTCTGCCCTCTTGACGAAGACTATTAGATTGGGAGAAACATACCTACTTGTAATCGACGGGTAAGAACGTTTCCTTCATCTTGGACTTCATCTTCTCCCAGTACGGGACCTAGGCCTTCCCTTTCCAAAGGCGAAGCTACTGAACTTTATCCCACCGTGCTGCAGTATACCCTCGAAGTCTCGTCACCATGAGCCTGACATGAAGCTCCTCCAGTGTCTCCTTGTAATCGAAGAACTTCTCAATGGCACTCAACCAATCAAGAACCCATTGAGGTGTACAGACCATGGAACTCCGGCAAATCAATTTTGATGGAGTTAATATCAAACCTAATGCTGGTTTCCCTAATTTCCTTGCGTTGTCATCTGTTAGTGAAGGGATTAACATCGGACTCATCACTTGAAGAGCCACGGCTTCTTCTTGGCAGCTCGGGTCAAATTGTCAACTGTTCAACTTGTCGCCACAGTTCCATCAACTCATCATCTCTTGCGTTGTTCGTCATATCGTTTTTGCATCCTCCTATACCTCTAGGTCTCATCGCCACCATGAAGGAAGACTATACTAGGAAAAGAAGAGATTGTACCCCAAGCCTGGACTCAAGGTCTGATACCAAATGGAGAGGGAAGACTAAACAGCAGTTAGGAGAAAGAACAATCAAGAAAGGGAGGAGGAGAAGTACAGAACATGCAGTAGAATGTTGCTCAACCACAAAAGTCAAATTTGAACTATTCTGAAATTCTAAAATGAGTATTACGTTATGTCAAAGCTTGGCATGCCATTCCTTTTATAATCGAGTTTTTTCTTTTCCAAGAAAAATATTAAAAACCCAGCACCATTCCCATAAAATATCAGGAAATTTCCTAAACATCCCTACAACTCCCTAGATGCCCGTACAACTTCCTAGGCAAGTTACGAGCCCTATCAACTCCCAACAAAAACTTCCAACCTATTTAGTTCTTACATTGTTTCCCACATTTCACCGTCGTCTATGCATTAACTCTCTTTGGGACTTTCTTTACAATTAAATGACATAGATACTAGTAGTCCATGCTGGAAATTACAGGCCCTCATGCTGATGGACTTGCGGGACCCCATCAACTGCCCACACCTAAGATTGTGGGGCCCACATGGTACCTACATCATATATGGAAAGCATTGAGGAAAATAAGCCAAACTTCCAATAAGATGAGAGAGTCACAATGCACCTTAATGAATAACGGAATCAGTAGGTCTTACATATATATGAATTTGGGCACAATGACTGGACTGTCTTACAACTAATGACGACCAAGATAAATATATAATACAAACATGCCCTCATATGATGCACAATGGATTATCATCCTCTATATTACAAGTACAATTATCAAATAATACAATGAACAAAACCAAATCTTGCCTTAGAAACTATGTCATACCATTTGCGATCTGCTCTCCACGTCTTTACAAAATCGAACAACCAAGTCTGAATCCTGCAAAAAAGAACTTATAGCACAGTAATTTGAACATTCAATTTTCTCAATGACTTCCCAGCAAAAAGAAGTCATAACAGTGTATAATTCATGCATCATAAATGGAATTAATTATCAAGTGAGCAAAACCTTCTGCATAATTGCAGCTTGATGGGGAATGTCAATGTCGTATGCAAAACCAATAGCCCATATTATCCATGTTTATATGCTTAATGTCATGTTTAATCATAACATACACATATATCTTACCACATTCAAGTTTGTATTAACATATGTAATTGCCCTTAGAAGACCTAACTTCTCAAAAATCGTTCATTTATCACAATCTTAACAAAGGGGAGAGACCAAAACAAAGGAAAACAATAACTACCGGGATTCCCAATGATGTTCACTGAAATAAAGAATGGTTGAGAGGCCCCATAATATTGAAAGGAATATGGCGTCCATTAGGAAGAATCTATTCCAACAACAAACCACCTTACTGTGACACCAAGAATGGGGACCAATTGCAACCAATGTAAATAGACATCCAATGATGTATAGTAGCATTTTGCCACTAATGTTGGCTAAATTATCAAGACCAGCAGTAAGTTGAAGTGATATATGCTCTGAATCAAAGGGGAAGCTACTGGACTCAAAATTAATCACAAAACAAGTTCTGTGCGCCAGGGAGGGCAATGACTTCTTTAATTATGGAAATTGAATGCCACCAATTTTCAATGATTACATCCAATTACTGAAAAAGTGACATGAAAATACATGTGCATTTCCAATGCCAATTGTTCCTTGTATGAGGCCTGACATAGGTAAAATAACAAGGATTCAAAAGAAGATGTGTTACCTTTTGACTGTATTCGAAAGGAAAACCAATCCATTCAGTCTGAACAACAGCTCAATTTGCAACATTGAAGTCAAAGAAATAAAATAAAAATGACGATTGTGATAAACTTAAAATTAAAGAATTTGCCATAGAAAAATAAGTATAAGCTGACAAAATATTAGCAAATAGGATACAAAATCATAAATGTAGCTACTGTTATCAATGACATAGCAATTGGAACTTGGCACTGCAATTGAATCAACCGAAGATACCAGCCAAACCACTGCAAACAACCAACAATTTGTGAGTAAATTTGTGTGGTGCAGAAATCTCGAAATAATAAAATATAAATAAACCTGGTGTATGTTATGCACGAACATATGTATGCCAAGGCAAATTTATAAACTTATAGTTGCACATGTATCAAAGGTGCTTTACGCTCACCAATTAGCGTGGAGCAGAAAAAAAGACTGAGATGATACATAGCCATGTTGCTTCACGGATGGAGCAAACCTGCCAAAAATATTTTAAAATGCAAATTGTCAACATTTCTCCATGATCGGAGACAGCTCTTTTCATCGCTTTTTTTTTTTTCACGGGCTTGATTGCACCATAGTTGATAATTGAAGATTAAAGATCCAAAGTCAGTGAGCGTGAAAGTTCAACAAACAAAAGATCCATCCAACAAGACTAGGTACTTGTTGCCTATGGTACTGCAGGAACTCAACACGTATATGTTCAGCATTAATCGAGTGATAAGCAAGATCCAATTCAACTTAAAGATAAAGTATGTTGCCTATGGTACTGCAGGTACTCAACACGTGAATGGAAGAACCATGTATAACTCATACAACAATTGCACCATGCATTGTAATTCAAAAAACAGTCATGAAATTTAGTATACCCATGATTGAGTGAAAAGATAAACGAATTTTGGAATACCCATGCATGTTTAACATTAAACATATTGTTCAATGACAATCATCATGTGCATAGTTTGAATACTTGTCTATTTACAACTTTTTTGTGTAATTTCAGTAATGAAACATGCATGGTTATTCTAAAAAAAAAGTTGAAAGAAAAAAGGACAAAAACTCTTTCTTCCATACTTTTGGATGTCAGAAGTTTTATTTGGCCATGACTAAAGAGGTAACTCAACAAAAACATTAAAAAAAAATTATTTTTTTTTTTGGGTAAGTCACTGGGGGAGAAGGCCCCCTACCCAATTTTCATCAATAATACAGGAAACTACAGCTCATATTTTTACAGCCATTGAATAGGGAAGTTGTGCCATCACGAAGTAATGAAAGAGAAAGAAAATCCGGCGGTCTAGATCACCAAACAGTGGAATCTGAGAAAGCGGTGACATTCAAACATATTTCTCGAACAAATAAACGATTTTCTCCAATGAAACCCATACTTTTCTCTAAATAAATAATATCTTCGGATTGATACACTATATCCGAAATATGATATCTACAGATAAACTACCCAAAAAAATAGACAATGATAAAAAATCCAAATAACATCTCTCATAACAGATGTAGTGATAACGAACGTCAATGTCCTACATCATGCCATGAAATACAAGATAAAAAAACAAGAATGATGCTAATATTAACTCCATAGATACATGAGCAAATTGTAACCCTGATCTCCCAGGAAAACCCAAAGTTCAATTATTTCCCAAATAGTTGGGAAAAGGCTCCGATGATGATGACGTAGCATGGGTTTCTACTCTCCAACTAGACAAGATTTTGGACACAATGCATTGATTCTCATATCGCTAAGAAACAAGATAATCACCTGGAAAACTCATTTTGTAGCGCACATTTCAATAGGGGAGACTATTACCCAACTATAACATACGCCATCAAAACCCATTACAGTTTTCTGATTTAATGATAAAGAGAATAATTATCCTCCACTTGTAAGAAACAATGGTATTCCTTGGAAATATACTAAAAAAATGTGTTACCTTTCCATTTTTGTGACCATTTTGACCAAATTGAAATGCAAGAACCGGATGAGAATTTTCGTTTAGAAGAAAAATGCACAAAATAGTCATTATTGGCCATGTTTAATCGGATTTTGAGCAATTTAATTATCTAAAAATCTATAAATTTGAATAATCAAGAAAAATACCTGGAAGAGAGCTCAAGAGTGCCTTTCGGAAGGCCCGGGAAAACGAGAGTCTGAAGCGCCCCCCTGCGATGTTTTGGGACCCTTATTCCGTTTTATAATAACAAAACAAGTAGACAATGCTGCCTTGGGAGCATACTGTGCATCTACTCCCTTAGCCACAAGACCTAGAATTCTTTCGGTTCGAAATTTTGGAACAGATGATTATTTTCAAATGAAAAAATTGAATATTGATTTTTCTACCTTTTAGATCCCGCCCTTCAAAAAATAGATAATCCTTATTCAAACATTAGTTTATTTTTTCCAAGGAAAATGTTTTCATAGGGTTGCAACACTATTGGAATAAGTAAAGTCTCACTTCAAACTTGACAAAAAAAATTGCAATTCTAGTGTCATAGAATCTTTCAATCAATCACTTCGGCCTTGAGCATTATGGTTGTGAAAAATTAGGATTTCAAACCCTAAAAATAGTGTATATATTATAACACATTATCTAGGTCGTCTATTTCGATCTACAAATAAGTATTCACATATCATACCCCATAGAATGAATATAGCAGAGATGAGAATATTGATATGGATGAGTGGCAAGACAAGAAGGGGCGGAATTCGAAATGAGTATATTCGATAAAATTTAGGGGTAACACCAATAGGGGATAAGATAAGAGATAGTAGACTTGGTGGGTTGGGCATGTATGGTGCAGACCCAGTATAGCACTTGTTAGGAAGTGTGAGTTAGTTCTAGTAAAAGGCTAGAAAAGAGTTAGGGGTAGGGCTAAAATGACATAGCTAGAATTATTGAGAAAAGATATGAGGACTTATGGGTATGTTCCTAATAGGACAGAATGGTGGACCAAGATTCATATAGCATACCTAAATTATTTGGAAAAAAGTTTTGACGATGAGATTCGCAAGATCTGTGCATTTTTTTAGCTTCAATTTTTATTTTTGGTATTGGAAATTGAGTATAAAGCTATTATAGAGATTTTCGATGCCCAAAGTGTTTTTTGAATTAGGATAAGAGGTGAAGCTTTACATTGTTTTCATAAAGCCTAGGCCTTAGAGAAAAAACATCTTTTTTTCTAATACCAAAAAATTTGCTACTCCCAAGAGAATATACTATTCATTTACTCCCTTGAGTAAAACTTACACCACCAATATCTTTTAGATCTCAAATTTTGGGATGTGATCTCCAATAACTGCAACCAACCTCAAAGGAAAACAAAAAAGAAAAAAGAAGGTCTCACTATTTATGTGCCTAAAAAAGGGCATCTTTGGATTTGCACTAGAACCATCTAATTTTTTGAAGGAATGAGATCTCAAGAACTAAAATCCAATTTTTTTATTTTGAAAATAATCATCTAGTTATAGTTATAATTAAGATGGATCCAAAATTTCAAATAAAACAACATCTGTAAATTAGAATTTTTGCTTGAGGGATTAAATTTATTAGATACTCACTATATGCACTCCTTGACGGTTCAATTACGAAATTTCCTTTTGTTAATTTTATTGGATTGAAGAGGTCAAATCTACAAAATTTGATGTCCAAAAATTACTATTATATTCGAGAAGGGTCTGGGGTCGTAATGGTAGCACCCCACATCCTAGTCACCCTATCGAGGTTTTCATTTCTACCACTAACATCACCCCACTCATACTTTCAAAAAGGTAACTCCTAATTTACTTGAAAAAATAAGCAGGCTGTCTCCCCCACTGAATTACCCAAAACTAAAAGTACTCTTTTATTCGACTTTTCCTAAGGCATTAAAGGGACAAAATGCTCCCGCATGACTATAAAATCTTTTGGGGGGCGGGGGTGGGGGATCAGCTGTAGAGAGAGCTATTCCCTTGCATAGAACTGCGACGGCATGCAGTGCAGTTGTGCAACACACAAACAGAAACGCAAGTCGGGCGGCGCAGCCCACCGTCCCCTCTCAGTCTCTCTCATGAGAATCCCACCTCTTGTCTGCGGAAAACACGACCATTTCCTGCGTAACTCCACTTTCAGCTTTGAGAGCTGCAGAGCCAGAGAAAGCCACATTCTCTCATTCCTCTCTCTCTGCAAATCTCCACCCCAATTAATCCAAACCCACGCTTACATCATCAAAACGGGCTTTGAGCAGCACCCCTTTGTTGCCGCCAAACTCCTCGAAGCGACTGGAATTTTAGGTGACACCAACCATGCGTCCCTTATTTTTAACAATCTAAAGCAACCCAACGTCATACTTTGGAATATCCTCATCAAGTTACTTTCTCACTCTAGCAGGTTCCAAGCAATATCTTACTTCATTGCAATGCGCAGAAAAGGTTTCAAGCCAGATAGTTACACATATACCTCGTGTGTTCAGGCATGTTCACGCTTTGAAGAGCTTAATTTGGGCAAATCTCTTCATGGGCAGGCCTTAAAATCAGAGGAAATCAAGCTTGATTTGGTTTTGCAAACTGCTTTGTTGGATATGTATGCAACTTGTCGTCAGCTGGATAGTGCAAGGCAAGTCTTTGATGAAATGGTAGAGAGAGATTTAGTTTCTCAAACTGCATTGATTAGCGGATATGCGAAGTGGGGCATGATGAATGAGGCTAAGCAGTTGTTTGATGAGATGCCTGAAAGAAACGTGGTTTCTTGGACCACCATGATAGGTGGGTACTCTCAAAGCAAAAGGCCAAATGAAGCTCTTCGATTGTTTCAAGAGATGAAATCAGTAGGGGTTCAGCCTAATGAATACACGATGGTTTGTGTGCTTTCGGCTTGCGCAAGCTTAGGAACGATCGATATCGGAAAGGATGTACACAATGGCTTGAGGAGAGCTGGAATTCAACTGAACGCATATGTGGGTACTGCACTGATAGACATGTATGCTAAATGTGGGTGCATTGAGAGTGCAATTAGGGTCTTTAATGGCTTGCCCAAAGAATTTGTCTTCATTTGGAATGCGCTGATCTCAGGGTTAGCCATACATGGGCTTGGAGAGGATGCTCTAATGGCCTTTGGTGATATGAAAAGGGCCAAGGTCTTGCCTGATGAGATCACATTTGTAGGGGTACTATGTGCATGTAGCCATTCAGGATTAGTTGACGAAGGCCTATTGTGTTTTGATATCATGGTTAATGAGTATGGGGTCGAGCCGCAAATTGAGCATTATGGTTGCATAATTGACCTTCTTGGTAGGGCAGGTAGGCTCAATGAGGCAATGGAGATGATAGAAAAGATGAGTGTTTCACCAAATGCTATTATTTGGAGAGCAATGCTGAGTTCTTGTAGGGTCCATGGAGATCTAACTCTAGGTAAGCTTTCGCTTGAGAGATTGCTTGAGCTAGAGCCTGAATGTAGTGGGAATTATGTGCTCTTATCAAATATCTATGCTCGGATAGGGCGGTGGGAAGATGTAGATGAGGTAAGGAAGATGATGAGTGAGAGGGGTGTCAGGAAATTGCCAGGATGGAGCTCGATTGAGTGTGAACATGTTGTTCATGAGTTTGTAGCTGGCGATAGGTCACACACCATGTCTGAGGAAATCTATGTGAAGTTGATCGAGATCTCTAAAAAATTGAAGTTAGAAGGGCACTTGGCAAATACCATGACAGTGTTGCATGACATTGAAGAAGAAGAAAAGGAAAGCTCTCTTGATTATCATAGTGAGAGGCTAGCCATTGCTTTTGGGCTCTTGAAGCTTGGCCTTGATGAGCCTATAAGGGTGGTGAAGAACCTTCGTGTGTGTGCAGATTGTCATGAATGGACAAAGCTTATATCCAAAATCTATCACAAAGATATTTTAGTTAGGGATCGTGTTCGGTTTCACCATTTCAACGATGGTTTTTGTTCATGTAAGGACTATTGGTGAGTCCATCTTTTGATTCAAATGTGGCATCACAGCAAGCAAGTCAACAAGGCGTCAAGGAATTTTTGCAGAAAGTGGCAATGGATCGAAGTAAGCAAAAAGAGGCAAAGTCGAGCATGTGTTATGGTGTGAGAAGAGTCATTACAACTTTGGATTTAGATGCCAATATCTGAGAGGAAGGATGAGAGGGTATTATTTTGCTCATGAAATGGGAATAGCACAGAAGAACAAGTTGGAAATGAGAAGTGTTCACATTGTAACAATATTGATGGACATAATCACATAATTATTGTAATTTGTAAATTACAATCTCAATATTATTTTTGTTGATTGTTGTAACCACCCAAAAATGCCAGCTCTCTGGCCACCATTTTGTTGTTTGTTTAAAGAAAATACTGGGTTAAGTCCGTCAATATATAAATTATGGGACTCTTTTTCTTCTTAAATCTTAAGTTCTTAATTTATCTATATGGGCTGAATGTTCGACCAGTGTGATCTTTACTGAGGATTTTATTTTTTTCTCACTACTTTTCTATTCTTTTCTTTGGCAAAGATCACTTGTAAGTAGTCTTATTATAATAACTTTTGTTTCAAATAAAATAAAAATTTACCAATCCAGGATCTTAATAACTTTGATGCCAATGAACCAATTTTCTTTAATCAAAGAAAATAAACTCAAATCTTGTGCTTGAGAATATAAAGACTATACAATTAAATATGCAAGAAACAAAAAGAATGTTGGAGATTACTTCAACCGGACTTATTATACCCCACACCAAGTCACCACCATCCGATGGCACGGGATCGAAGGTCTTCATTCAATCTCAATCGGGAAAGCTATTTTCAGCCAAGCTCTTCAATGGAACCCTTATGCTCACGCTAGATTCTTGTGATCAATCCCCAAAATATTAAGACAAAAACTCTCCCTTCTTTATTTTTCTTAATCCCTATGACTTTGAACAAAATTGGGAGAGATGCGATTTTTTAATTCCCCTTCGAATGAGAGACGCACTCCTGGAGAGAGAGTAGAGTAGATATTGGGGAGAGAAATAAGAGAGAGAGAGAGTTTATCTCTACGTGGGGTATGCCCATTAAGAGAGAGAAGAGGTATAGGTGGGGCGTGAGGTATTTGCTAGAGAGGGATGGGAGAAGTGAGAGGGGCGTGCCCCTTATGAAGAGAGATATGAGAGAAGTGGAGAGTGATTAGAATGAAGCGGGATTACCCCTTTTTATAGAGAATTGAGTTAGGGTTTTCATTAGTTGTCTCACAAGATTCAATCTGAACTGTCGATCAATGGTGATTTGTGAGGTGAGAGATCTTAGTCATTCATTCCATAGATGGGTCATCAATATTACAGAATGTGCTCAACCGTTATCCCCCCTTTCCCTTGACTATTATCCCATCAAATAAAAATTAATAAAGAAAATATTGTCCTCTATCCAAAATATATATTCATAAGCCTTATAGGCCTTCTAAAATATTTACTCAAATCTATTAAGGATAAAACACAACTCAAACAAATTTGAGATTAAATATATCAACAAATCTCATAAAGAGGGGGAGGTGCTACCCATGAAATAAGCCTCCCCTCAAAAGGCAGCGTGCCACCCAAGATAGGGACTTATGGGCCGCACCTTCTAGAATATGGTGGACCCATGTGCACAATGCGCCCCAATAAAATTTCATATATTTAAAAATAAATTTTAAAATATTATTTGAATATTTAAATCATTAAAAATTAATATCTTTAATTTTATAAACCCGAATTTCATAAATAAATATCCAGGGATTTATAAAAATTCAAATAATAATTCTAAAATAATATGTTCCATAAAAAAAAGACAATTAAATTAATTTGATAGGAAAATGATCCATATGGTCAAGAAATTATATCAATAATGAAGCATTTCATCTTTAACTGTGGATTACATATCACACTTGCTTTATCATGTCGACTCAGTGTTGCCCATGACCCACAGTTCAAGCAGAGGCTCATTAGTGGGTCACCGAAATCTGGCCGATGAGCCAAAGGATGGTTATACCAGTCTGTGGATTTCAGGTTCTCCCCTAGAGACGAGTCAATGTCAACTAGACCTAATGCAACTACATGGTGAATAGGGGTATTTCTCGCACATGCATACGCTTCACCCTAAAAGGTGGCTTGCTCGCTTTCCTGAACAGTCTATCAATATGCATACCGTATGATGGAACATGGATGAGGCTTTGGCCCCCATCTCTGTAGGCCACCATCACACACAAGGGTCACACAGTCCCTTGGCTCTCTCATCCGGGCATATTCTGACCTCATCAAGGGATAACCCACTAGAACCCTTCTTGGTTTATTTTCTATACCCAAGCAATATGGATTTTTCCCAACCGACTGGCCTCAACCGTCAAGCACAGTCCGATATCTGCAAACATTGTTTGCATGATATGGTCTGTGAGGGACTACACTCTCACTGAGTCCATGATCCATTGTATCAAATGTCTCCTCACAATCACTCATAAGGCCTTTAAAGGCCACATAAACCAACATCTCTCACTTGGCCTTTAAAGGGCTTACATTCTCTCTTTCTCACTTTTTCTCATCCCCATCTGTCTGTCTTCTTCACAATCTCTCTCAATACGTGAATCATGGCTTTTACTATCAATCCTTTCACAAAAGGACTCATAGAGGCAACGCCTCTTTCTTTTTATTACTCCGATCTCATCCTGAAAGTCATGATAGTCCATCTTTCATATTGCATCGCGAATCATGGACCTGCTATTACAAAAGATCATCACGTATCCGCATCGCATAGGGTCAAATCCTCATGGACTCAAAAGAGTTTTTCAAACAAGCTGCTTCTTTCTATAACCATACAATCAGTGCCACACATCTAGGTTCCATTGGTAAATAACATCATACTATGTTGTTCCAGTTGGCTTGTCAAACACTAGGAACTCCCACTGAAATATTTAATCTTATACGTTTATAGTTATTATGGAATTGTGGCTCCCTTTTACATGCATATCGACGCCATGTTGTTGCAGAAAAACTTCACTATCTCACAACGCATGGGTTGAAAGTTCAGTCAATTAAGAAATTTCTTAGTCCATACGGCCTCCTTGGTTGCCAAATAGCACGCCACGTATTCTGTCTCCATAATGGACAATACCATTGTGTCCTGCTTTTTTTATTTTCGATAAATTGTTTATCATGACCTCGCTCCCTGCCCCCTACCGTTCACACTGGAGGTAGCGAATGTCAATCAGGTCGGAGTGCGCTCATCGCTTTTAAAGAAGCGGTAAACAAAGCAAACCACGAAAAAAGGAAAACTCAAAACACAACCATACAAGAAAATAAGCAAAACAAAACAAAAACTTATATTTATACATATTCAAATTTAGAGTATTACAATTGTTTAAGACACCAAAGGCCCAGATACAAAAATACATATCTCCAAAAAAAACAAGAACATGGCCCACGACCATCCAAACACATACAATCAAAGGTCTTCTCAACAGATGCAGGTTCTCCGAAATACCAAAACACTCACCCAACCAACTGCCCTTGACCTGTAGTTACTACTCTACAAAGATGGAAAGTGAAAGAATGAGCTATAAAGCTTAGTAAGTAGAATCAAATGGCATGCTTTACTAATATATCCAGCAAGGAGTCATGAGTAATTCTCTTTGGAGATAAGAAATAACAATCACACATGCATTATTCAAAACACCAATCTATCACGTCTTATCAGCACAAGTATCATAACGAATCATAACACTATAAATTTGAACCAATACTATTGTGTAACAACATCAATATGTACATTAACCAACTCACTCTCTAGGTCACCTACTCCCAAAGTAGAGGCTCTATTCATCAGGCCAACCAATCTCATTGCTTACGACCTCTACCATCACTTAGGAGGGAAGGCAATAACAAGTGGGTGTCCCACTTCGTAATGCCGTTGCACATGCACACACACAATCCCCAGCGCGCTTTGGGGTTTGATAGGCGGTGGCCTTGAAAAACACGATCCACTTATTACACAGAAAGTTGGGGGGTGCGACCCTCCCATCACACACTCTTCCTAACTCCCTTCTTATCATTGGGGAGTCATGGAAGCTGCTGGTACCAGTTGGCAATGCAATACGCTCAAAGCACGCCACTGGATCATAGATCACTTAACACCTCATGGCCATGCAATATGCTCAAAGCATGTCAATCAGTCATATATCACAATAACACATATCAAGGTATCACACATCTCAATATGGTCATACAATTTGCTCAAAGCATGTCAATCAGTCACATATCACAATACTACATATTGCGGTATCACATATCTCAATATAATCATGTAATATGCTCAAAGCAAGCCAATAAGTTACAAAAAAACACACATCATAACAAAGCATGTCTAAAAGTCATGCACATTGATTTGCACATAGCACTTATCACTTGCACTTATCACATGCACTTATCATATGTACTCAGCACGTCATCACATACTACAATTGGATGACCTATCATATTCATAGTCTGCTACATCTGAGTCAGTCATATTCAATAAGAACTCACTCATTCATTAGCATACTTGTCTTTCATAGACATGCCTTGTGAGGATTCGCCTTTTTACAAACAGTAGCATTCACTATTTCATAAGCATAACAGATTTCAACCATGCATAGTTTATGATTACATGAGTACATTCCATTTCACACCATAGGTATGCCTTACTTCAATCATACTTACACTTAGTCAAGTATTCACCGATCTTTCATTTAGAACTGATTTGAGGCTAAATCAGGGGCGTTTTGGTCGACTAATTAACCATTACAACAAAAAGGAAATATTCTTGAATTTTCTACATTCATAACAATGACATTACTCTAGAAAAATGAACACCGATTCCAAATCACAAAAAATATTGACATGCTTTCATAATTAATTTTATACTAGACACATGTATCTTTCAAATGGGGTGGTTTGAAAGCATTTGGACTTCATTTGATC